ACGCCTGGCCATTTTTTGGTTGCAGCCATCATTGTTGTTTGGCGGGCCCGGGCTGGGGATTCGAACCCGCCACCTTAGGTGTATGTAGCTAGCGCCTTAGCCGCTTAAGCCACAGGCGCCAAGCTGGGTGTTCCTGTTTGATACAGATCTTGGGGATGATCTACCTGGGCCTTATAGGTGATGAAACCAAGGTTCAGGGAGAAGTAGCTCTCACCTGCTACTCAGCTAGATATGACATATTAAGTTCAGATGAGAAAAAATGGAGCCCAGTTCACCTTGTTTCCTAATCAGATAATTAGAATTTGGCCAGAATAGGCCTAACCTTTCAGGGCTGCTTTGGATTTGAGCTGGGTTTTCTATTTCTTTGAAATAGAGGGAGACTAGAATTGGCAGCTTCCTTGACTTGCCCCGCAGGGGGCCATGTTCCTCAGGGAAAACATGGCCTGTCCTTGAGCACTTGGGTTGCTCCAGAATTTCTCTGGTTTTGGAGCTTATGGAGGGAGGTGCTCTTGGCCTTCCAGGATTGACTGGCTGGCTGGATGTTACTGGAGAGTGTGGTCATGAACAGGCACCTCTGAGGAAGCTGAGGTATAGGCTATAATCAAACCCATATTCATAATTTAAAGTAAACCTGTTATCCCTGCTTACATTCTAGACAACTTCTTATTTAAAAAATTCCAGTCTTACAGAAAAAGTGAAATAGAATGAAAACCTAGATACACTTCACTTTTTGCCCCATTTGCCCTCTCTGTGTATCTGTACAATTTTTAAAAATGAATCATTGGCTGGGTGCGGTGGCTCACACCTGTAATCTTAGCACTCTGGGAGGCTGAGGTGGGTGGATTGCCTGAGCTCAGGAGTTCAAGACCAGCCTGAGCAAGAATGAGACCCTATCTCTAAAAATAATTAGGTGTTAATGGCAGGTGCTTATAGTCCCAGCTACTTGGGAGGTTAAGGCAAGAGGATCATTTAAGCCCAAAAGTTTAAGGTTGCTGTGAGCTATGACACTACAGCACTCTACCCAGGGTGACAAAGTGAGTCTCTGTCTCAGAAAAAAAAAATCATTGAAAGTATGTTGCAGATATAACAATGCTCTATTTGTAACTACTTCTAGCACACATTTCCAAATAATAACAATATTTTTTTAGGGCGGCGCCTGTGGCTCAAGAAGTAGAGCGCCAGTCCCATATACCAGAGGTGGCAGGTTCAAACCCAGCCCCAGCCAAAAAAAAAAAAAAAAAGAAGAATATCCTTTTACACAACCACAATCCATTATCACACTGAGAAGTTCAATTTTATCTAATATGTTGTTCATAATACAATTTCCTCAGTTGTCCCAAAATGTCTTATTTATTTATTTTAGAAATGTCTTTTTTTTTTTAATTGAGACAGAGTCTCACTTTGTCACCCTTGGTAGAGTGCTGTGGTGTCGCAGCTCACAGCAACCTCAAACTCTTGGGCTTAAGTGAGTCTCTTGCCTCAGCTTCTCTAGTAGCTGGGACTACAGGCATCCACCACAATGCTCAGCTAGAAATGTCCTTTTCTGAAAAATCCAAGGTTCAATCAAGGATCAGCTATTCACTTAGATTGACATATGGTGATATTTTGAAAAATGTAAAATCAGAAAAAAAATACAGGCACACCTCATTTTATCGCATGTTTCAGATATTGCATCTTTTATAAATTGAAGATTTGTGGCAACCCTGCTTCAAGAAAGACTATTAGAACCATTTTTCCAATAACATGTGCTCATTTTGTGTCTCTGTGCCACATTTTGATAATTCTTTTTTTTTTTTTTTTTTCTGAGACAGAGCCTCAAGCTGTTGCCCTGGGTAGAGTGCCTTGGCGTCACAACTCACAGCAACCTCCAACTCCTGGGTTCAAGTGATTCTCTTGCTTCAGCCTCCCAAGTAGCTAGAATTACAGGTGCCCACCACAACGCTAGGCTATCTTTTGATTGTAGTTGTCATTGTTGTTTGGAGGGCCCAGGCTGGATTCGAACCCACCAGCTCTGGTGTATATGGCGGGCACCTTTGCCACTTGAGCTACAGGTGCCGAGCCACATTTTGATAATTCTCACAATACTTATAACTTTTTCATTTATTATATCTTTTATGGTTACCTGTGGTTAGCAATGTTTGATGTTCTTATTGTAATTGTTTTAGGGTGCCACAAACCAAGCCAATATAAGACAACAAATTTAATTGACAAATGTGTGCGTTTTGACTGCTCAACTGACAGGACATTCCCTGTCTCTCTTCCTCTCCTCAAGCCTCCCTATTCCCTTAGACAACAATATTGAAATTGAGCCAGTTAATAACCCTACAATGGCCTCTTAGTGTTCAAGTAAAAGAAAAATTGTGTATCTTGCGTTTTAAGTCAACAGCTAGAAATGATTAAACTCAGTGAGGAAGGCATGTTGAAAGCTAAGAAAGGCTGAAAGCTCAGCCTCTTGCACTGAACAGTTAATCAAGTTGTAAATGCAAAGGAAAAGTTCTTGAAGGAAATTAAAAGTGCTACTCCAGTGAACATACAAATGATAAGAAAGTGAAATAGTCTTATTGCCGATATGGAGAAAGTTCTAGTGGTTGATAGAAGATCACATCAGCCAAAATGTTCCCTTAAGCCAAAGCCTAATCCAGAGCAAAGCCCTAACTCTCTTCAATTCTCTGAAGGCTGAAAGAGGTGAGGAAGCTGTAAAGTTGGAAGCTAGCAGAGGTTGGTTCAGGAGGTTTAAGAAAAGAAGCCGCCTCCATAACACAAAAGTACAAGATGAAGTAGCACATGCTGATGTAGAAGTTGTAGCAGATTATCTAGGACATCTAGCTAAGATAACTGATAAAGGTGGCTACACTAAACAACAGATTTTCAGTACAGATGAAATAGCCTTCTATTGGAAGAAAATGCCATCTAGGACTTCCATGGCTAAAGAGGAGAAGTCAAGGCTTGGCTTCAAAGACAGGCTGACTCTCTTGTTAGGAGCTAATGCAGCTGGTGACTTTAAGTTGAAGCCAATGCTCATTTACCATTCTGAAAATCCTAGGGTCCGTATGAATTATGCTAATTCTGTCAGTGGAACAACAAAGCCTGGATAACAGTACATCTGTTTACGGTATGATTTATTGAATATTTAAAGCACACTATTGAGACCTATTGCTCAGAAAACAAGATTCTTTTCAAAATATTAATGCTCACTGACAATGCACCTGGTCACCCAAGGCCTCTCATGGAGATGTGCAAGGAGATGTATGCTGTTTTCATGCCTGCTGTACAACATCCATTCTGCAGCCCAGGGATCAAAGTTGACTTTCAAGTGTTTGTAGTTTAAGAAATATATTTCACAAGTCTCTACCTACTATAAAGAGTGATTCCTCTGATGGATCTAGGGCAAGTCAATTGAAAACCTTCTGGAAAGGATTCACTTTTCTAGATGCCATTAAGAACATTTGTGACTCATGGGAGGAGGTCAAAATATCAACGTGAACAGGAATTTGGAAGAACTGGATTCCAACCCACCTGGATGGGGTTCAAGATTTCTGTGGAGGAAGTAACTGTAGATATGGTAGAGACAGCAAGGAAATGAGAATTGGATGTAGAGCCTGGTCAAGTGACTGAATTGCTTCACTTTCATGATAAAATTTTGATGGCTGAGGAGTTACTTTGTATGGATGAGCAAAGAAAGTGGTTTCTTTTTTTTTTTTTTTGAGACAGAGCCTCAAGCTGTCCCCCTGGGTAGAGTGCCATGGCATTACAGCTCACAGCAACCTCCAACTCCTGGGCTCAAGCGAGTCTCCTGCCTCCGCCTCCCAAGTAGCTGGGACCACAGGCGCCCGCCACGACGCCCGGCTATTTTTTTGGTTGCAGCCATCATTGTTGTTTGGCGGTCCGGGCTGGGGATTTGAACCTGCCACCTTAGGTGTACGTGGCTGGCGCCTTAGCCGGTTGAGCTATAGGCGCCGAGCCCAAGAAAGTGGTTTCTTGTGGTAGCATCTATGCCTGATGAAGATGCTATGAACAATGTCAAAATGATAACAAAGGATTTAGACATTACATAAACCGAGTTGATAAACCAGTGGCAGGGTTTGAGAGGACTGACTTCAAATTGGAAAGTTGTTCTACTGTAGGCAAAATGCTACCAAACAGCATTGCGTGCTACAGAGAAATCTTCAGTGAAAGGAAGAGTCAACTGATGTGGCAAACTTCATTGTTGTCTTATTTGAAGAAATTGCCACAGCCACTTCAAGGTTCAGCAAACACCACCCTGATTAGTTAGCAACTACCAACATTGAGGTAAGACCCCTCCATCAGCAAAAAGATTATGATGTGCTGAAGTTTCAAACAATCATTAGCATTTTGTGACAAAGTATTTTTAAATTAAGGTCTAGTTGCTATATTATAGATATAATACCACCATAAACTAAAGAATAGTGAAAATATAACTTTTATATGCACTGGGATACCAAAAATTTGCATGACTAGCTTTATTGTGATATTCACTTTATTTCACCTGTCTGGAACCAAACTCAAGATTTCCTAAGGTACGCTTCTACTATGTTTAAAACTGATTTTCTTTTTCTTTTCTTTCTTTCTTTTTTTTTTTTTTTTGAGACAAAGTCTTACTTTGTTGCTCTCAATAGAGTGCTGTGATGTCATAGTTCACTGCAACCTCAAACTCTTGGCTTCAAGAGATCCTCTTGCCTCAGCCTCTGAAGCAGCTGGGACTACAGGGACCCACCACAACACTCTAAAATTAGAGATGGGATCTCACTGTTACTGAGGCTGTTGTTTAACTCCTGAGCTCGGGCAATCTATCCATCTCGGCCTCTCAGAGTGCTAGGATTACAGGTGTGAGCCACTTCGCCCAACCTTAAAACTGATTTTCATGTGGTCTCCAGTCTGACTATTTATGAAAAATGTTTCTCTACTTTAAAGAATATCAGAATCAGAAATTGGCTCATACAAGAACATTTTTGGCAGTTTGGTCTTTATGTGTATGAAATACTGATAAATTATAATATTTTCATATCCTTAAACTCTGGTGCTGAGAAATTATTGATAACACCAGAGTAAAAAGCAAAACCACAGGAGATCATCAAAAATTTAGCATTCCCAAATTACATGGGAATATTAACCTCAGTAAACAAAGACAAATATCTTAGTAAGGGCTTTATAATTAAAAGATGGAGGTATGTGAAATATATTATGAAGATAATGTAATTATACACTTTAACATAAAAACCAATATTCTAGCACTTGAATTTAGACATCTGGATCTTAAATTTTCTTGACACTGCAGTTAAAAAGAAAAGTATGCAGGTCTTTTCAAAGGCTATGTGTTAGCAAGTGGCTACTTTGGTCATTTCACCTGAACTGGTATTTCACTAACTAGCAGCTATTAACATGCCCCAGCTAATGAAAAATTATTCTTTCTTGGCTGCTGAAAAGGGGCCGGGTGGATGTGTAAGTTTAAGTGTCTTAGTTGTTGGCATATCAGCTGCCACGTCTCTGCTGGAAATCACCCAGGAAGAGGGCTGGGGAGGGAAGCAGAAGGCTGCTAGCAAAAAGCAGATGGAAGAAGACAGAACTGGGAGCAGCAGAAAGGAAAGAGAAGGGCAGGGGTAGAGTAAGCCAACCCCCACCTGCCCTTTACCAGGTGCACTCCAGGTGTGCAGCACACTGCAAAGATCCTTCACATTGACATTATGCTTGACAAACAGCATTCTAAAAGCAGACTGAGTTTGTGCCAAACGTTTTATGAGGCCCAACCCTTCTTTTTAATCCCCTCTCACCTTGTCCCACACCTCCTCAGTGGCATCCATTAGGTTTCCAAAGAAGGGGTTGACAGCGGCATTGGAGACCAGGATATCAATACCTCCATGAAGTTTCACAGCCTAAAGAGAGGAAGAAGGTCTGGGCAAGGGCTGCAGTAAGTAAGGAAGGCACATTTATCTATGTTGATAAAAAAATTCCTTCTTAGGAGTTGTCAAAGTGATATCTTTTTCTTAAAACATTATCTCTCCAAAGCTGCTCTAAGCTCTGCGGCTAGTCATTTAAGGTCGTCTTATTTCTTTTGCAGTCATTTCCTTCTGCCTCTTCTTCTCAGGCTATCCTCTAACCCTTTACTCTTTTCTTTACACTTTCCCTTTGGGCAGCTCCTTTATTCTCATGTTTTCAACTCCAGTTAGAAATCTATTTCTAGACCCCCTTCTCTTTTCACACTGAGTCCCAGCCCCATTTTTCCAAGTACTCACTGTCCCATTCTCCTGAAATGAGTTACCATTATCTCAAAGTTAAACTGTCCACATTTGCCTGAATAGAGAAACTGGTTTAAATAGAATGATAGAAAGGGAAGGGCCTTTAAGATCATCTTGCCTAGGGCAGCGCCTGTGGCTCAAAAGAGTAAGGCACCAGCCCTACATGCTGGAGGTGGTGGGTTCAAACCCAGCCACAGCCAAAAAAACTGCAAAAAAAAAAACAAAAAAACAAAACACATCTTGCCTAATGTCCTCATGGTGGAGTTGATGAAGCCAAAGGTCAGGGAAGTTAATTTTTCAGAGTCATAGAGGTCAGTAACGACACATTGGGAATAGCTAAGAATAGGAAGACTGCTTATACCATGTTTAGGAGAGGTGATTTGTTCAGGGCACAAAGCTAGTTAGTGGTGGCAGAACTGAGGTCAGTCTCCTTCTTTGTAGCATAGAGCTAATTCATAAGTGTTCTCTGAAAATGAGCCTAGGTCATTATGAAACTGGCTGCCCAGAAGAGCCATGATGGGAGGAGATACTAGCCTGAATTTAAAGCAGTTCCACACTTGGCTATGATGTCATTTTCTTTCTCTCTCTCTCATTTTTGACCTGGAGGTATAGAAGATTCAAGACAGAAACAGATTTAAATTGAGAAAGCCAAGAAAGGTGACCTCTTACATCCTTAAAAAGTTATAAGTAGGTAGTAAAGGTTTGTGGTAGAGTGACAAATGGCCCCGCAGAATCTGCCAACAAGGGTTTTCAGAACCAAGCCACCCTGAAACTAGACTTTGCATTTGCTCAGAACTCCCAATTTTGTGCCTTGGGCGAGTAGCACTAAATGGGCCCTTGATCAACTTTGTGCTTCGGATTTGGCACACAGAGGGGTGTTATTAACAATGTATGCCATCTGCTTGCTTCCCATTTTAACTAATTATTCTTGTTAACTAGGTGCTAAGCTCAGTTGTTTCTACACTGCTGAAGGAATGCCTGGGCTGTCAACACATAAATCTAACAAAATTTAAAGTCACATCATCTTTTAAAATGCGTATTAAGACTTTCTTGCACCCTCTAAATGTTGGTGTCCTGGCATAAAGCCCCAGTCACCTGCCTTGGTTCTGTGTAAGTCTTGCCAATAGACTTGTGTTTAGAAAAGTGCAGAGTAAGTTAGAAAGCGATGTGTGTGCTGGTTCTGTGCTTGTGTATTTGGGGGTGGGGAGAAGACAATGGACTAATCCAGCATCACAAACAACCTTTTTCACTTTGCTGTGCATCCTGTCCTCCTATCCTTCCAGTCTGGTCAGCATGGAGAGGGAGGAGGCCTGGTTTCAACTGAACAGAGACAGTGAAGCATAAAAGATGAATGAGAAAGGTAGTTAGGACCACTCAGCTGTCTTCTAAGTCTTTCTCTAAATGGTGTGGTCATTACACTAAAGTGGTTGGTTGTTTTCTCTGGGTTCTGATAATTACATACATATTTTAGAAAAAGCATAATCATGTGGAGAAGCAGCTAATCTAGTTTCTACTTACCACACCAGTGAGAAGCTTTGCAGTGTGGATTAGGTGGCCAGTGGGTAATAACCATGCTCAGGCTAGTAGCTTTTTCATTGTAGGGTAACCTTTAGTGACAGGCAGAACGTATTTCAAATTGCTAACAAATGTTTTATCATTTTCCACCCTGACATTGATCATACAAATTACCTGGGAATTCTTACTGACTCATCCCTCCTACTTCCCATTTTGTGACATGGGGTTGAAAAAATCTTGGTTGGTTCCCATTAAATGTCTCTTGGGAACATCTGTTCTGGTCCTACCATCCTTGGTGTAGACTGGGATGACAGCAGTAGCTTTCTCCTGATGTCCTTGGCTCAGTGTCTTCTCTCTATCCTTCTTCCCAGAGCCAGATTATCCTTTCTTAATAACGACTTTTATCTTGTTCAAAACTTCACTTGGCTTTTTATTTTTTTGAGACAGAATCTCATTATGTTGCCCTCGGTAGAGTGCTGTGGTGTCACAGCTCACAGCAACCTCAAACTCTTGGGTTTAAGCGATTCTCTTGCCTTAGCCTCCCAAGTAGCTGGGACTACAGGTGCCTGCCACAACACCCAGCTATTTTTTTAAATTGTAACTGTCATTGTTGTTTGGCAGGCCCAGGCTGGGTTTGAATCCACCAGCTCCGGTGTATGTGGCTGGCGCCCTAGCCACTGAGCTACAGGTGCTGAGCCCACTTGGCTTCTTATTACTATGAGAATGTGTAAACTCCTTTGGGAGGCGATGGAGGCCCTTGTCCCCTACCTTTCCCATTTTCTAACAGTATTCCCAAGCCTGTGTTCCCTGCTATGGACTGACAGTGCCCCTTTTCTCCTTTAGTCCCTCCTTGGCAGTCTGCTCATTTTTCAGGGTCATTGGAACCTTGTCTCTACCTGTCCATTCCCACCCACTCATCCAGGTCTAGTTCAAGCCCCACTTTTGGGTCAGGCCTGAATGAACTGCTAAGTGGACCTGGTGGGAGTTGGAGGATGTTTTCTCAGCAGAATTCTGACATTAAATTGCTATGTATATTTCATATGGCTACTCATTGGCTCAGGGTCCCGAATGTCTCCCTGCTCCCTCAGGATCAAGGACCCAATCTCAGTTCTGTCCAGCAGCCTATGCCAGGCAAGATAACTTTCTTGGATTCACATCTGGCTCCTTCCAATGCACATTTGAGCATTTGCCAAACAGTTTTTCTTTTCTTTCTTTCTTTCTTTTTTTTTTTTTAGAGACAGAGTTTCATTTTGTCGCCTTCAGTAGAGTGCCATGGCATCACAGCTTACAGCAACCTCCAACTCCTGGGCTTAGGTGATTCTCTTGCCTCAGTCTCCTGAGTAGCTGGGACTACAGGTGCCTGCCACAATGTGCAGCTATTTTTTTTGTTGCAGTTTGGCTGGGGCCGGGTTTGAACCTGCCACCCTCAGTATATGGGGCTGGTGCCCTACCCACTGAGCCAAAGGTGCTGCCCCAGACAGTTTCTTAAACATGGAATTACCCTATACTGTCTACCATATCACTGTCTACTATTGTTTAAGGCCCTCCTTTCTGCCAGCCTTCCAATCTGTTAGGATGAACCTGTACTTTCATTCTTGGGTAGCTTCTCTCTTCCACTCTGGGGAATAAAGTATATGCCCTCAGTCTTGAGGGAAGAGGAGCCTCCTGTGCTGTTAGGTTTGTATTTTCTTGTGAAGCTAGAAGAAAGCTGGTGTCAAGTGCCAACTCTGACACTGAGATTAAAGTCCAAATGGGCACCTAAGGCCTAATCCTGCACTAATGGGGAAGTGCCTGGTAGTCTGGAGACAGCCAAGGAGCTTGATAGGTCTAGGTTGAATCACATCTCTTTCCTTACTGGCTGTGAGACCTTGGGAAGTTGTTCCAACAATATGAACCAGTTTCTGTAAACAGAATAGAACTAGCCTTGCTTGGGTTGTTGTCAGGTTTAGCGGGTACCCGTGTGAGGCTCTGAATACAGTAAAGGCACACAGTAGGTGGCTGAAACACAATGGGTTGCCTCAACTCTTCAGCTTACAAACTGAAGAACAGGCAATTGTTAATTAGTGCACAGATGGGGTCATCTATTTTGAGATTGCATTTACCTTCTCATCTGTCCAATTAGATTGGAAACTACTGAAGAACCACGACCAAGTGTTTTTTTTGAGTACCCCAAGGGATGATGTAAGGTTGAAGCATTAGAGGAGTTTTTGATTCTGACTGGTATGGGATGATTCTCAGACTTCAGTGCATTGATAGAAAGGCACACAGTAGGGGGCGGTGCCTTTGGCTCAGTGGGTAGGGTGCCAGCCCCATATACTGGGGTGGCAGGTCTGAAACCGGCCCTGGCCAAACTATAACAAAAAAATAGCTGGGCATATTGGTGGGTGCCTATAGTCCCAGCTACTCCGGAGGCTGAGGCAAGAGAATCGCCTAAGCCCAGGAACTGTAGGTTGCTGTGAGCTGTGATGTCACAGCATTCTACTGAAGGCAATAAAGTGAGACTCTGTTTCAAAAAGAAAAAGAAAAGAAAAAGGCACACAATAAAAATGTGAGGGTGGACTGGTGTGGGTAGCAAAATGCACTGTTATGTTTCAGTTAACAGTACTGGGTTGGATGTACTGGGTTGGCACCACTGCTGCCCAGGAAAGCAAGGAAAAGGGCTCAGGATGACTCCCTTTTTCACCTCCGGTCTCTGTGCCCATTTCCCTAATGCTCACCGTGGCCACCAGCCGCTCTCGGTCCTCTGCCTTCCCCACATGGCACACAGTGCCTGACACGCTCAGCCCCTCCCCCTGCAGTGCGGCCACAGCTCGGTCCACGTTCTGCTGCTTCCGGCTGCTGACTACCACGTGAGCCCCATCCTGGGCCAGGCGCCGGGCAATGGCGAAGCCAATCCTGCCAGATGGGAGAGACAGACTGTCAAGGTCTCTACAGGAGAGAAGGCTGAGAGGATGGGCTCTGGAGTCAGGTTACTAGGGCCTGGATGCTAGCTCTTCCTCTGTATTAGCAGGCTAATGGCACAGCTGTTGCCATGCAGATGAACATGCTTACGTGCTTTGCTCATTTTTGGCACTAATATACTTTTTTTTTCATTTAGTTGTAAACACCACTACACTTGGACCAGCAGTGGTGTTCACTATATGGTTTTTATTATGACTTTGGCTCTCAGCATCAGTTCCCAGGAATGGACATCACCTTTCACAGGCCCTACCATGGGTAACAGGCCCCATACCCTGTCAGGACTGAAGAATAAGAAATGAGCTGGAGGCAGCGCCTGTGGCTCAAAGGAGTAGGGTGTGGGCCCCATATGCCAGAGGTGGCGGGTTCAAACACAGCCCTGGGCAAAAAAAAAGAAAAAAAAAAAGAAAAGAAAAGAAATGAGCTGGGTGTGCAGCCACATCCAGGTTTGAGGGTCTCACTCCAAAGGAGCCCCTGCCCGCAAATATCTCCCTTACTAGTCTTTATCATTCTCAAAATCTTTCTTTTTTTTGCAGATTTTGGCTGGGGCTGGGTTTGAACCCACCACCTCCCCGGCATATGGGGCCGGCGCCCTACTCCTTTGAGCCACAGGTGCCGCCCCCATTCTCAAAATCTTTTTTTTTTTTTTTTTAAATTTTGGCCAGGGCTGGGTTTGAACCTGCCAACTCTGGCATATGGGGCTGGTGCCCTACTCCTTTGAGCCACAGGCACTGCCCCCATTCTCAAAATCTTAACCTTAGTTATGTTGGGGTGCATGTGAAAGGTTGGGTAGCTGGTCAAAAATGTAAACATTCCCCTGGAAGTAAGGGTTGCACATTTTGCGTTTGTCAGCCATTAGCCTTTCATATACATCGGTACTTCAGATTTGCTGAGAGCTGGCATCTAGCAAAGTTCTGTAGGAATGAGAAACAGGGCAGAGGAGAGTGGAGGGTGAGAAATAGCCTGCAGCAGGTGGGACCGAAATGTAAGGAGGTTAACAAAAATCTGGGCATGTGTCTTTAGCGTCCCATTTAGGCAAGGGGGAGGAATTCAAGGGCCAAATGGGGTGTTGTAATATTTTAAGATTTTCATAATCTGGATTTCCTTGTATTTCTGGTTTCTGGTCTTCCCAGACGCTAGGTGGGGCTTGTTGATTGGGGCATCCTAGAGCCCGGGGGACTGGATCGGTCGGGGTAGCGCAGAGGTGGCGTAGAAGCAGAGGCAGGAGTGACAGGAGGACTGGGAAAGGAAGGGCAAGGGCCAGGGGGCTCGGAGGGACTTCCTGCCAACAACGTGGTTCCTTTTTCCCCCAAGGCCAGACTTTGGCCGCGTGGAGGTCTGAAGGCAGAGGCTCGAGAGGCAAAGGACAAGAGGCTACGCCCTGTTTCCATACAGCCCGGGTCTCAAAGACTCTGGCCCGGGCACTCACCCGTCGGTAGAGGCTGTTACCAGGGCCACTTTATTCGCGAGCAGATCCCGGCGGGTCACTCCGGAGCTGGCCATCCGCACTGACTTCCACGGCAGTGTACAGAGACCTAACAGCAGACCCGCCTTCCGCATGGCTCAGCCAGTTCAGATTGAGTTGCACTCCGCCCCGCGGAGGTGAAGGACGAAAGGCAGGCCAAGGGGCCTGCGGCCTACCCACCCCGCCCCCTGCTCGCTGGGTGCCCGCCCTCGGTGCGCGGGAGCGGCCTGTGGCCGCGGGCGCCCCCTGCCGGCACACGCCCGCTGCGCCCCGCCGTCCCCTATCCTCCGCTGATCTTGCCCTCTCCTGGCTGGGTAAGGGGAGGTGCTCTGCGCCCAAGTTTCTCTTAGGGTTCTCACCTCCCCCGGGACCTGCAAACATTCCCACTTGTCCTTTCACATCTGCTGGCTGCGTACTTTTAGGGGAAGAGGGGACCGTGAGTTGTTTGCTTTTGTAACCCAAAACTCAAGATGGAATTTCTTCTCCAGGAAAGTCTGGATCTCTCCAGGAAAGTCTGGATCTATGCACGTGTGACAGCCCAAGGGAGGCTGCCTATGGGGGTGAAGCCTATGGTCTCCACATAGTCCACCACGTGAGGGTGGAGGAACCTGGGAAAGAGACGTGATGGGGAGTGGTAGGTTGAGTAGGCCTGGCTCTGTCTATCTCAAGATCTCCTGTATCCTCACAGGCCTTTGAGTGTGAACTCTGGCCATTGACTGAAGATCTCTTATGCCTTCCATTCAAGATGGCTTCTCTCTTTTACAGTGGCTAAGTGCTAGCAAGGAGCCTAGAGGGTCCCCGAAGCAGGAGTGGAAATATAGAGAATTAGGAAGGAGTCAAGTTCTCCATAATTACTATGTCCCCAGGTCTTAGCGTACATTTTAGTTTAATAAATTATTTGTTGACTGTAAAAGCACTTTATGTGCAAAGTGTAACTGTAAACTACTAAACACAGTGATTATAACCATAGTAATTATTATTGCTGCCATAGGCCAGACTCTTTATCTGTAAACTCTGCATGTGGAGTAGATGATAAATAAAGTCCTCGCTAGCTGTAAATTCTGTGTCTGAGACTTCACCCTCCTCTTCTGCCAAGTGAGTTGAATTGATCTCCCTCCTGGGTTCCTGGGAAAATGAATAGATCTGGATGGCTTATGGTTCACTACAGGAAGGTCTCAGCAGACCCAAGTGCAAGCATCTGAATTGGTTTAACCCAGTGGCCTCAAAATGCCAGACTGAGAAGCAATGCTGATCCATGGCAATATTTTCACTAGTACAAGGCAAAATGAGAACAATTAAGAATATAATAAGTTTCCCAAAGCTAAAGTTATTGATCTTAGCACATAGTCCTTTATTCTGGAATACCCTTTTGTCTCCTCCCTCCCTTTTCTTGGTGTTAGTCTTTTCTTTTAGAAAAGATGATGGAAGCAGATGGGTAGGTTTAGAAAAGTGTTGTTGGTTGGTGAAACCATTAGTTTGTTAGCTTCATGTCAGTCCCTATGATTAGAGGGGAAAGAATCCTGGTGTGTGAAATTCAGTTCTGGGGATTACTGTTTGGTAGAATTCATCCTTACTAAAGATTCATTTAGTATAGATAGGTGTTGGTCAGCTGAGCAGTTGAAAAAGGATTTCGGCATTTGAAAAGGAGTATTTATGGATAGCCAGTGATATACCAGGCATGCCCTGGATTTACAGTGCATTCCTCAGCTACCAAGTTACAGCTGCCATACTCAGTTTTGGTACTTAGCACATCCTGATGAGATAAAAGAGCTTAAGTCTAATTCTTCCCATGTTTGGGGAAAACTGACTCTCTGGTGCCCCTCAGTCTGAGCCTCATGAATTATTGACAGAGGCTGGATAGTGTCACACTCCTCTTCCTCTTTCACTGCTCAGAGCTAATGCATTGTGGGAACCCTTCCCAGTGCTCTCTACCTGATGTGAGACTGGGGGAGATTGCCCAGGAGGTTCTTGGGGCTTGGCTCAAAGGGACAGTCCTGCAAGGCACATTTGGTCTCACTTCACCCCTTTCCCCAGAGTTGGACAGCTGGGGGCTGAGGTTGGCAGGAAGATGGGAGAGACCATACTGGGAAAAGCAAAGGATTCTGGGAGAAGAGAACTGTGGCTTGAGAGCTTGCTGATTGGGACTTGGCCCCCTCCTTGTCTGGGCTGGGTTGATATTTGGTCACCAGCACCATTTCTTTTGGGAAAGCACAGGGACATTAGGGAGGGGATCTGTGAAGGGAAAAGGGTAGAAGGCAGCAAGGAGATGAGTCTCTGGCTCCATCAAGCTTGTTTGTTGCAGATAAGGGTAGGAAATCCTCTTCCTCTTGTTGGGACAAGAGTCAAGTGGAGAAGATAAGAGAGAGTGTTAATAGTAACTATTTACCGAGCATTTAATTACTAAGAGCCAGCAGGTGTTGGGTGTTTTTTATGAGTTTTATTGAGGATTTCTAATGTGGCGAAATGGGTATTTTTGTTTTTTCTATATGTGCAATCAGAGTAAGTCATGATAACCTGACCCACTGTCAATGTGGTATAGCTACATGTCATTTTTCTGGCACTGTAGGCACAGTCATAGTTTTCATAGAAATTAGGTCTCTGAATCGGAATTTTACTTTCAGAACCAGTGTTTTTAAATCAAAATATCTGTTGTTTAAATTATCAAAATAATGCATGCTCATGATTTTAAAAATGGGACAGAAAGTTATGAGAAAAGTAAAAAGTAACTCTTCTCTAGGCTTCTTTCACTGCTCCCCACACAATTCTTGGTCTTGTGTATACTTCCAGAAGTTTTCTATATGTTAATATGCATTTTTCTCTTAATTTTTCCCCCATGAATGAGATTATACTACTCATACCATCCTTCAAATTGCTTCCTTCTTTTCTTTCTTTCTTCTCCCCCTTTTTGCTTTGTTTCTTAAAGTACACCCTTGGAGAATGTTCTGAATAGTACATAATAAGTCTACCTTATTCTCTCTCTTTTTATAAAATAGCTGTACAATAATCTATTGTGTGAATATTCTATAGTTTATTTAGCCAATCTCCTATTGATGAACAATTAAGTAGTTTCCAGGATTTTGTTACTTCAAACAATGTTACAGCGAACAACCTTGGATGTATACAAGGTCTGACAATTTAGTTTGTGAACTTGTCACCATGTGTGTATGTTGGGAACACTATACAAACAACTCAGTAAGGTTTTATAAACTTGGTATATCACTGTCTCACAGTTGATTTTGTTGACATGTGGCAGTATCTTGCTGAATGGCATTCATTATTGTTGTTGTGTGTTTTGGTGTGCCGTCATGAGAATGTTGGAGCTTGAATTAGAGCAAGAACAGACATTTGTAAATTTCTTATTCAACTTGGCAAGAATGGAAGTGAAATCAGGGACATGTTAGTCCAAGTTTATGGGGATAATGACATGGAGAAAACAGCAGGGCAGAAATAGATTAAATGTTTTTCTGAGGAGAGAGAAAGCGTCACTGATGAAGAGAGGTCAGGGTGGCCAGTAATGAGTGAAACTGATGAAAACACTGCAAAAATTCATCAAATCGTGTGTTGGTATCATCAGCTGACTTTATAACAGATTAAGTAAACATTGATAGGAAAAGAGTAATGAAAATCTTTTTTTTTTTTTTTGAGACAGAGTCTTACTTAGTCACCCTTGGTAGAGTGCTGTGGCATCTTAGCTCACAGCAACTTCAAACTCTTAGGTTTGAGTGATCCTTTTGCCTCAGCCTCCCAAGTAGCTGGGACTACAGGCACCAGTCACAACACCCAGCTATATTTTAGAGACAGGGGTCTTGTTCTGTCTCCAGCTGGTCTCAAACCTGTGAGCTCAGGTCATCCACCCACCTGGCTAGTTATGAAAATCTTAACTAAAAATCTTGGCCCATGACTCATGGCTCTGGGCTCATGACAGTACACCAGCTCACATGACACTGTCTGTGAAGGAGTTTTTAGCCAGTTAATAAATAACTGTATTGAAACACCCTCCCTGCTCACCTGATCCACCCCCAATGACTTTCTTCTTTACCTGAAGATAAAGGAAATATTGAAAGGAAGACATTTTAATGACATTCAGGACATCAAGGGTAATATGACAATAGCTCTGATGGTCACTCCAGAAGGAGTTCCAAAATTGCTTTAAGGGCTGGACTAGGTGCTGACCTTGGGGCACAGCTGCCCAAGGGAAGTACTTCACAGGTGACCATAGTGATATTCAGCAATGAGATATGTAGCACCTTTTCTAGGACACGTTTAAGAACTTAATTGTGAGAACTCATATATCATGTATAAATATGAATTATATATATATAATTTGTCTTTTGTATGAAAACATTTATATCCTGGATCAAATGTTTTAAGTTGTTGGCTACGATGGTCAAATTACCTTAAAGAAGATTTAACCAGTTTTAATGAACATTTTTTTTTCTGAAGTGAATTTACCTGTCACCCTACCCTCTTATGCATAGTACACAGAATGGATTAACCTTTGGAGAAGCTCAATGGTAAATGGCAACATGGCCTGGGAGCCCATAGAGTTGGGCTCCATGAGCCACAGCATATAGATGTGATGCATCCTCAGTGTCACTGATGTTTGTCATTGAGAATGCCAGCCAAGAGCCAGGTGTGGTAGCTCACACCTGTAATCCCAGCACTTGGGAGGCTGAGGCGGGTGGTTTGCCTGAGCTCGAGAGTTTGAGACCAGCTTGAGCAAGAGTGAGACCCAGTCTATAAAAAATAGCTGGCCATTGTGGCAAGTGCCTGTAGTCCCAGCTACCTGGGAGGCTGAGGCAAGAGAATCACTTGAACCCAAGAGTTTGAGGTTGCTGTGAGCTAAGATGCCACAGCACTCTACTGGGGAGTGAAGGTGTGTGACTGAGACTCTGTCTCAAAAAAAAAAAAAAAAAAAAAAAAGAGAATGCCAGCCCAGTGTTGCTGAATTTATAAACAGAAGCTAAAAATCTGCAAGTTAATAGGAAATATTTGATTTTTAAATGCTGACAACTAATTTACTTTAAAAACACCCCCCTAAAACAAAGCAGTGAACATATTTTTAGGTGCCAAAGACCGACACAATTTTGGCCTATTTAAATGTAATGGGTTATTAATTTTGTGAGATCTTGCTCTAACTAAAATTTCATTGCTCTATGGTA